AATAATAACAATAATGAAAATTTCTTTCAATATGTAAAAACCAAGAAAAAAGTCAAGGAAACAATCCATCTACTAATGGGAGAAGATAGCAAGGAGCTGATGGGCAGCAGGCAGAAAGTGGAACTGCTTAATTTATTTTTTACATCTGCCTTTACACAAAAGGGAAACCTAACAAAATCAGTACCATAAAAGGCAGATTAGGAATATAAATCAAAATAGACAAGAAAGTGGTAAGTCAACACCTGCCCGTTCTAGGCAATCACCAGAACCAGATGAATTATATCCCAGGGTACTGAAGGAGTTGACAGATGTGATCTCGGAACTGCTGAACTGTATCTTTCAAATATCCTGGAGCACCAGGGAACTACCAGAGGAGTGGAAAACAGCTGACTGTTCCAATCCTCAAAGAAGGAAGAAAAAATGGACCAAGGAAACTACAGATCAATCAGCCTGACATCAATTCCTGAGAAAATCCTGGAAAAGATAATCAAGCAAGGGATCTGGGGAAGTCTAGAAACAAGCAAAGCTATTACTAGAAACCAACATGGGTTTGTCAATGACAGATCATGCCAGACCAATCTTATTTCATTCTTTGACAGTGATTAAATTAATAGACCAGCGAAATGCTGTGAACATAGTGTACTTGGACTTCAGTAAGCCATTTGACAAAGTAAACCACAATCTACTTCTTCGTAAACTAGAAAAAAATAGAAGAGACAACATCACCACCAGATGGATTTGCAACTGGCTGACAACCGCCCTCAATGTATAGTCCTCAATGGAACTACATTTACATGGATGGAAGCAAGCAGAACCTCAGAGTTCTATCTTAGGCCCAATGTTCTTCAATATCTTCATACATGATTTCGATGAGGGGACAGAAGGGAAACTGATCAAATTTGCAGATGACACTAAGCTGGAGGAATAGCCAAACACTTTTGAAGATAGACTCAAGATATAGAAATATCTTAACAGACTTCAACACTGGGATGGGCTTCATTTTTTTTTACTACCGGTTCTGTGGGTGTGGCGTGGTGGGCGTGGCTGGGGAAGGATACTGCAAAATCTCCATTTCCTCCCAATCAGCTGGGACTCAGGAGGCCGAGAATAGATGGGGGTGGGGCCAGTCAGAGGTGGCATTTGCCAGTTCTCCGAATTACTCAAAATTTCCACTGCCGGTTATCCGAAGTGGTCAGAACCTGAGTACCACCTCTGGCTATAGCTAACAAAATGAAATTCAAT